ACTTTATTGCATATTTCTATGATCATTAGATGAATTGCTTGATTTATTTGAAACAAGTAAAATATCCAAAGTCGCTTCAGCTCTTGGTAAATAATTAAATATATATTAATATTTTTTGTAAAATTTTGTGCCTTGTGTTGGTATTTTTGTTAATCCATAAATGGAATCTTAAAGATTCTGCAAATATTCCTTCTGCATTAAAAATATTTTTGAATTTCTGCAAATTATCGATAAACCTTTAAAATAAATTACATTTAACGTCTTGTATTTATTTTAATGACTTATTATTTTTATAATTAATCCAAGTTTTACTGGATCATGTATTCAATTTATCTTCTTTAATAATATGTTCATATTGTGAACTTTGTAAAAATGAAAAGCTTTCATCCTATTTTTTTTTTTTTTCAATATATGATAAAAATAAATATTAAGAATGTGGCACTTTCTGTTTCAGTATCAGTCTCTGTTTAAATATCATTTCCATGTCTACTCGTTTTTGCCAAGAATTTGATTGTTTGTTTATTAATTTCGACTTAAATATTTAACAAATTGTTTCTTTTTTGCTATATTGTAAAAGTAGCGATTTATTTTATTCATCTCTTAAATAATTTCACATCGAGTTTTTCTCTTATCTATTTGTTTGTGAATTCCTTTTTAATATTCTAGGCACCTAATATATTTCGAACTTTTTATAATTACATTTTTAATTGTATAAACTATATTTTCAACTACTTGCATAAAGAGATCTGAACATAAGAAAATTCTGCTGTTTTTGCACTTCTTGCAGTTGTAAAGATGCATTATGTGAACAAATAATCTTTTTAATAAATTATTAATTTTTGGTGCTACAGTTTCTACTGCAATGCTGTAGAAACTGTTGTATCGAAATCTTTTACTTATTAAACTTATTTTTATAAATGAATTACGTATTTTGTGTGAAACATTTCGAATTTTTGAGTGTTTTTTTTTAAATCACATTATTCAATGCTCTGGTACTTGATTCTAATACTTTGTTAATTCTGAGCAACTTTAAATTCTATGTAAAATCGAGAAAATGTACAAATACATGCACAAATTGTTCATGTCTTAATATTTATCTACTTAATTTTTGATTGACAATTATTTTACAAATAAGAACGTTTTCTATATATTTTCTGAACTTCGGTTTGCATTTCTTTTTTGTAATAGGTTCTGAATTGCGGGCTAAAACGTAGACGAAAAATTTTTCACTTTTCTGCTATTTGTAAAGAAACAGCTCGGCAGATCGTCGCACAAAACTGACAAACGATAGTTCTCGTCGAGATACATCGAACGGCTTTGAAATCGGCCCAGCCGTTTTTGAGAAAACGTCGATTTACGGCAAAAAATCTGTTCACATACACACACACACACAGACATACTTTTTCCAAATTTGATCTCATTCGATTCAGAATGGCTTGAAACGTCGAGAAAACATAAAATTAGCGAATTGAATTTTTTGATGAAAACATAAACTTCTCCTTCGGGAAGTTAAAAATCAAAAATGCCCATCTTATTTAAATATTTTTCGTTTCTTAAATGTTAATTATCCTATTTTTAATTTTATATGATATTTGTTTATTTGCTCTGAATTTCAAAATATATTTATTTTGTTTATTTTACATCATATTTAAATATTTGATTTATTATACGTAATTTATATTGTAAAATTGTGAAAGAAATTTCAAGTCGATAGGATTACTAGAAGTTTTTTTTTTTAATTGAAGTCGAAAAAAGTCTGGCCAGACCACGCCGACCGACGGAGGGTTAAATATAATATATTTAAATATTTCAATATTAATCTTAAAATACTCGTTTTAGTGACATAAAATAATAGAAAGTTGTTAAAACTTATTTTTATACTAGTAAAAGTCTTATCAATTCGTAAAAATAGTTCGTGTGAATCATTTGTCTATTTGAATATTTGTTCAAACTAATAATCCAAGATGATTGATCAATGATTTTAATACTAACAATTTTTGTTCTATTTTGCAAGTATTACCACCTGAATAAATTTATGAAAATTATATACATATATTACATATTATTGACAATTGTCTCAACTTTTGATATATTTTCAAAACTTTATATATTACTGCTTTAATATTTTCATAATAGTATTTATTTACATCTAATATGTCATTCGAGATGCTATATTAAACATAAGTATTTTATAAATTTATTTAATTATATATTATTAAATGAATATTTATTGAAACTTGACTTTATTTATTGATTTATAATTTTGGTCTGACTAGCAAATAAAGTTAAATCGTACTTTCATATAATTATCAAATTGTACATGGTACATTGAAAATATGTCCTGTTTTGATTTTTAATTTTCTTTTTGGCATTAATCGAATTAAATATTAAAGTAAATAATTTATTTTTTAATGAGTGTTAAATGATTTTGAAGCCATAATTTTTAATATTTTCATTGAAAGCTTTAGAAAATCTGATATTACGTATATTAGACATTTTCTGTTTTTTATGGAATATTTTTTTTTTACAATTCATGTAAGTTTCTTTGTATCTTTTGTATTGTGTTTTGTATTGTCTCATCATGGCAACGATGATGACTATAATGTTCAACACTTTGGATAAAGTCCAATTATCTTCGTTTGGTTCAATTTCGCTATTTTGCTATTTTATAAATGTTATGTGTAGAATTTTGTAATTTTCTAATGAAGTTAGCCAATAGCTTTCTCATATTGGCTATTGTGGAGGACCGCAAAAATAAATGATGCAAATTTATGAATGAATTTTGTTGGATTGATATTATTGTTTGGAATTTGTTGTAAATAATTTTTGAAACTAATTTATGAACAATTAAAAAAAACTAATTTGTTAATAACCAAATGCATAATACTATATACTCGAAAACTATTACTTAATTGCTTCCATTAGCTCCATTTTAAAAATAAAATAATATATTTTATGTGAAACATAATGTTAGGGTAGGGCGGGGCTAGTTGAGCACAGGGGCAAGTTGAGCAATCGAAATATCTCGAAAACTATTCGCTGTCCGTTTAGGCATTATATGGCGGAAAGATAAGAGGTTTGGGAGAAATAAAAATCCTGCGATCGCTAGTAGCCGCTGGACAAATGAGTGAGGCTCACGGGCGTTTTGTTTATTTTGAGACCAAAAAGTAAAAAAGTCATTCATCACGAGTTTTCGTCTAGTTTAGTCAAATGTTATTTATTTTTAACCAGGTAAATTTTATTCTTCCATATAATTATAGTACTTTTAATATGCACAGAGATTCTGGGTATAATTCTCACGGTTTTTCCGAGTTGGGGTTAGTTGAGCATAGTTGCTAAACTTGTTCTGTCACTAGGACAATTACCATTAACTTCCAAAAATTAATTATTAATTTTAAGATTCAAACTAAGTCCATGAGATATAATGGTAAAATAATTCCTAAGATACGATATTGTTTTGTTGATTCTACTTTTAGTTAATTATTCAAAGAAAATTACTATAAGTTTTGTTTTCTCTGTCAATAAATACTATTAATATAGAACTGGTTATTAAAAACTTATTTTATTTCATCACTAATCGACATTAAACCTATAATTTCATTATAATTTCTGAGTGCTCAACTTGCCCCACCTATGGGGTACGTTGAGCATACTTGACTTTTTGCATTTAAACAGCTGTAGCTTTTAAATTTTACATATTACAAAAAAATAGTATTAACACTTTTGTTAAGCGATAAACAACAAATCCATTAGGTCGTATAGCAATTTATTGAAACTTTTCATTGAGGAGCTACATCCGTTTAAGTAAAAATTTGCTCAACTAGCCCCGCCCTACCCTAAACAATATTATTCATTCTGGTGCATACTTTGAATTCTATAATAATCATGATGTACTTTTAATTTTAATCTAACCTTAGATTGAAGTATAAATTTTAATTTTGCTATTTGTTCTATCGTAAATTTATTTCGGAACTTAACCGTATTTGTCTGCTTTTAGTGATTTTTATTAAATATAACTTGCATTTTAATTATTTCTTTTGAACTTGTCATTGGTTTTTTAAATATTTCCAACTGCTTGCCTATAGAGAAAATCTGAACGTAAAAACTTTTCTCTTTGCATCTTTTTTAGCAAATCGGTTGTCATAATGCATTTTGTTTTCCAACAAAATATCTTTTTAATAAAGTAATAATTTGATTTAGCTGGTTTTTGGTCTCACTATTTTATTTCACAGCAATGCTTTTTACGATTCTACGTTTGTAATAATAAATTAACTAATAAATTTGTTTTATGAGTCTTAATTTAAATTATATCATTCGTTTTATTGAATACATATATTTGTGTATCTATATTAACAATCTATATAAAAATATATATGTGATTTTACACATTTATACTTAAACTCCTTTTTTCAACTACAAAATACTTTTTAGTGATTATATTCTAACTGTATCAGCCTTATACTTTTTGGCTACTACTTTACTTTATACTTGTAATATTATAATTTAATAATCTTATGCTTCTGTTTTGTCGTATATTGAATTCAAAGATAGTTTGCACTTATAAATTCATTTTCATCTGTTAAAATGTATCTTTTTTATTTACAACCTGTTGAAATTGTTGAAGAATTTCACGTATTTCCGCAAAAGCGTCCTACCCGGCGCCAATGACGCGAAAAAAATTGCAAGAACGATGACGTTGGGTCATTTTGACCCGACGTTTTATTGAGGATTTATAATAAAAAATATATACTTTTACTAAATTGTAATTAATGTTTACTAAATAAAGGTATTTTCTGCATAAAAATAAATAAAATAAAACTAATATATAATAATTAAACTTTTATTGACATACTTAACAAGACATGCAAAATCAACTTTGAACAAACAACATATGTTAATTATAAGTTTTGGTTTAAGTAATGTTAATAATCATTGGTAACAAACATCTTATAATACTAAAAAAGAGATCAAATTAAGTTATTTTTAATTATAAATGCCAATCAGTCTTCTATTTCCTCATTTACTGACATCGAACTACTACAATTATTGCAGTAGGTAATAAAATGATCAGGGCATATATAAATTTGACATTCATGACAGGTATGACTTGTCTTCTTATCTTTTTTGGACGGACATATTTGGCATCTCTTGCGAACGCCTAGAATCTTTCGAGGTGGTTCATCTGTGGTTTCACCTGTGAATTGTGCGATTCTTTTGCGCAGTTGACGTGGTAAATTCACTCGAGCTCGTCGCACTTGTAAATGTTCCTGCACCATGGCGAGTCCCAGATTTTTTAGGAAATGTCTTCTTTTCATGCGTGTATCATCATTATTAGCCCGGTATATTATGTTTGCGTTTATTTCCGATATATTTAGCATTGCAAAAAAGATAGTCAATGGCCATCGTTTTGTGTTTCTACTCACGTTGTATGACGCAGAAAGATTGTCCACTACATCCACTCCACTCTTGGTGTGATTGTAAAAGGATATGATGTCTGGTTTCCTTTTGTCACCTGTAGACTCATCAATTTTTTCGTCATGATGTAGACTGGACATCAATAAGACAACTTTATTTTTCTTTGGAATGTAGGAGACTAGAGTTATGTCCTTTTGATGTCCAAAGGTAGATGATCCTGGACATTTTCCACGTGTTGTAATGAATTGAGGTGGAATCTGCCGTTTGTTTTTGCGTAAGGTTCCAACTGCTGTAAGTTTATGTTCCGTTAGGAGGTGAGATACTAATTCATAACTCGTGAACCAATTGTCGAATGTTATGTTACGATGGCTTTTAGAAACGGGCAAGACGACGCGATTTACAACGTCAAAAGGTTTGTTGCTGAGTGAGTATGGGCCACTTGGCTGCTTTCCGCTATATATTTCTAAATTGGTCACATAATATGTTGATGCATCTACTAAGGCAAATATTTTAATTCCGTATTTGGCAGGTTTAGATGGAATATACTGCCGGAATTTGCAACGTCCTCGAAATGCAACCAACATCTCATCAATGGTGCAGTTTTCGCCTGGCGAATACATTTTTTGACACTGCTGTACAAACATCTCGAAAATATTCCTTATCGGCGCTAAATTATCGAATTGTTGTCTTTCAGCACGTGTAGATTTGTCATCAAAACGTAGGCAGCTTTGTATAAAGTAAAATCGCTGGATTGACATGGTGAGCCTGAAGATTTCTACGCCTGTACCATCTACTTGCCATAAATCACTCAAATTTTGTTTGTTTGAACGGTAAAATCCGGCAATATATAGAAGGCCTATGAATGCTTTCAGTTCACTAATTTCTATTTCTTCCATATATCTATGTTTGCTCAAATCGGCACACAATGCTCTCCTCTCTTGAATGTGTAAATTAGTACAGGTTTGAATCGTATTCAATATATCATCCGTTATGAATAAGCTCCAGGACTCAAATATAGTTTTTGCATTACGAGCAACGGATCTAACACCAGGTAAATCGGATATAATATTTTCTGATCTGGTACGTACGTTTGATCGTGCTGGTGTTTTTTGCCACAAAGTTCCATCTCTTCCTTTGAACACATGCCGATTTTGTTGACTTTGTAATCTCAAAAGGTCCAAATTGCTTGATGAATCAGAGTCCGCATCAGAATCACTAACTTGTTGTTCGGTGCCGCTATCGTTACTTCGTTCCGATAAATGGTCTTCAACCTCGGCGTCCGAAGTAGAATTTGATTGGTCTTCATCTGACTCTTCCAATATTTCCAATATTCTCCGCGGATCATTTGTCAGTGCCATTTTCTTCAAAAACCTATTAAAGAACACAAAAAATAAATATAAAATCACTAAATAGAAAATAAAAGTATGTCACGAAAATATTACATTTACAATGACGCTGGGTCAAACATACCCGATTGGACTTGACGCACGAGTTGCTCGTTGCGCGGGCGGCGTCGCACTGAGCGAACCATCGGGGCGGGTAGCGGGGAGGCATCGCTTCAGCTACTCAAACGCTTAAACCACATAACCCGGGTAAACAAAATATATGTTCGTTAAAAAACGTCTCGGGTCATTATGACCCAGCGTCATTGGCACCGGGTTAAATATTTATTTTATTATGATTAAATTTAATGTAATAATTTTATGTCGTTTGATTACTTAAATAATTAGTTCATATCCGACTGGACTTTTGAAAATACTCAATTTTTTTGCAAGGCCCTCTAAATTTATGTAAATATCGTATTAAGAAATTACTTTATCAAACATTTTAGCATCTGCAAACTAATCATATAATATTTTTTCGGCTTTTTTATTATTCTACTGAGTTATTCTAAAAAAGTCATTTTAATGGAGTAGACTATCTTCTGCAAAATATACCCAAATGACAAATTGGAAGTATTCTGTTAATATTGATAAAATTATTCCCTATTATAACATATTTTTTATAATTTATATCTTGCTAGATGGTCTTAGCAAATGTTTTATGATTATAAATTTTAATTCCAATTTTGACAAGTTTATTAACAATGAAGTTTGAAATATTTTTTTTGTTACAATTATAATGAACAATTAACAATTGAGTAATGTGCCTTTTGAATTTGGCCTATATTACATTTTCATCCAAAATTTAATCAATTTGTATTTTTGGGAACTTTATTGCATATTTGTATGATTATTAGGTCTTGTTTTATTCAAAATTAGTTCAATTGTCTTGATTTATTTAAAGAAAATTATCTTTGCTTGCTAAGTCAAACTTCCAATGTTATTCTAGCTCCAGCTCTTGGAAAATAACTAAATAATAATAATTTTCAATATCACTGTCAACTCATAAATATATGCAAAACTAAACTAATCGCTAAATGGAATCTTGAATTGAATCTAGATATAAATATTATTGAATTTCTATAAACTTTTGAAGCATTTTAAAATCGTTTAAATTTTTTGTCAACTGATTTTACTGATATTTTATAATACAATTTCATAGTTCCGAATTTACTTCTAAGATTGTGCATTATACAATTAATAATTGAAGGCGTTACTTTTTCTAAAATTTCTTAAACAATTAAGTTTGAATTTTGAATTGTTTTCACTTTCGTTTTATTTACAAATATTTTCATAGATGTTTCTGATGAAAAATTAAGAGAATACTATAAAATTTATTTTGATTTGTCGAATTGTTTATTGATAAATTACATCTAACTTCTTATATTCAAAATTACAGATAAATTATTTTAAAAAATTTTAGATAATTTTTTACAAAATTATAGATAAATTATTCAACCAATGCAAAATATAAATTTCATGGGTGCATTTTTTACAGAGAACACTGTAATTAACCTTGATCTAGTATTTTGTCAAAATTATTCATCAGCAGAGCTGGCTGAGCTGAAATAACTAACAATTTAATTTATTTCTTGTAAAATTGATTATTTTTTAACTTTATTGCTTTTTTGTGTCCTGTTTTGTTATTACTATGTACACGTTCCCGAACGATCGGTGTTCCCGAAATCGTCGACGATTTGGCACACACATACACATACGCACATACAGAAACCTTTGAAACGTGAAGATATATAAAAATATTCATTTAGATTTTTTTGCGACCACTATAACTTACCCTAGGGGAAGATAATGAAGAAATCAGTTGCGAGGAGCTAAACGTCAGATATTATACGATATAAATAGAAGAGATAGTATAGAATATAGCTGACCCGGAAATAGAAGAGATAGTATAGAATATTTCCGGGACTTGGAATGGATTATGCCATGTTTTCTATAGAAAGTGTATAAAACTTTCAGTTTGGTTGTATTAATAAAATATAGACAAACTAATGGGGTTTATTGTTTCTATGAAAAATATTGGAAAAAAACAAGTGCATGTCAGATTGAATTTTACGGTTTATTAAAATTGCATGAAAAGCTTACAAAAGTGTACAGATAATTAAATAATTGCTTACAAAAAACCATACATAATCGAGACTCTAATGTGCGTTTGTGGAATCAATAAAATGTCTTACATTTCAATCAAGATATAGAAGCGAATATGGAATCGGACAGTAAACCATCAGAAATCCCAAAACTACGAAAGACCGTTATTGGATCCAGCAAATACAGCAAGATACCTCGCGAGGAAGGTCGGACCAATATGTTTACATCGGAAAAGGTCTCGCTGCGTTCAACTTCATCAGTTTCTGACTCAAGACAGGTAGTAATATCATCTAGTAATAGTGCATCTACAAGCCTCACTCAACCACATTCTGATGTCAAGAAACCTCCTAATTCATGGCAAGTAGTCAATTTCAAAAAAAGAAAAACTTCATTTGAACCATTAGGAATAGATGTCAAAATTCAAAACAGATTTTCGGCCCTTTCAACAATAGAAACAGCTAATGATGACAACTCAGTTAAACCGGCTCCAGTCAGTAAGCCCCCTCCAATATTTATTTACGGAGTTGACGATATTAATGATATGTCTAATCAATTAAATGAAATAATTCCGCACGATCAATATTTCCTGAGAAGTTTAGCTAACAATACATTTAAAATTCTATGCAATTCTGTCGACCATTTTCGAACTTTATCCAGACATCTAAAAGAAACTAATGCCGTATATCATACATATCAATTAAAAGAAGAGAAGGCTTATAGGGTTGTTCTTAGAAATGTACACTTTTCAACAAGCACAGATGCAATTAATTAGAACTATTAAAACAGGGTCATGTCGTACGTAATATCCTAAATATTAGACATAGAATAACAAAAGAACCTCTTAATATGTTTTTTGTTGATCTGGAACCAAATAGAAATAACAAAAATATTTATAACATTTATAAATTATTCAACTGCATAATACGCGTCGAACCACCGAGAAAGTCCAACAACATTATACAATGCTCTCGCTGTCAACTCTTTAATCACACCAAAAAATACTGCAATAGACCATTTGCTTGCCTAAAATGCGGTGACAATCATAATACTAAAGCTTGTACCAAAGATCCGAATGCTCCGGCATGTTGTTATTTTTGCGACGGTGCTCATCCAGCTAATTATCGCGGTTGCTCATACTTCCAAAAAATTAAAGAACAAAGAAACAAACTCCAGTAAATCAATCAGTCATAAATCCTAATCCAAATAACCAAAATTTTAAAAATTCTAATAATTCTAATTCTAATAATAAAATAAACAACATTTCTCCGGCCTTAAATCCAACAATTCAAATTCATCCTATGCAGACATTGCAAAAAACAATTACTCTGCTTCTATTCATTCACCTTCAAATCCCGATTCTGATTCTCTAGCAACACTTATTTTAGAATTTAAAAATATCTTCAATCAGCTTTTGCAACAGAACACCATAATAATAAATATGTTATCCACGTTAGTCAACAACAAAAGCAATGGCAAAAATAATTAAAATTGCTGAATGGAATGCCAACGGTTTAATACCTCACAAAAATGAAGTAGAATGTTTTTTAAAGTTAAACTTAATAGATATCTTATTAATCTCAGAAACTCACTTCACTGAAAAAAACTACTTTAAAATTTATAACTACACTACTTATAATTCAAATCACCCAAGTGGCAGGGCTCGCGGCGGTTCGGCTATATTAATCAAAAATAATATAAAGCATTTTGTTCTACCAAATATTTCTGATGATTTTCTACAAGCAACTCAAATTTCTGTTGAAACAAATTTATATAATTTTTGTGTTTCTGCTGTTTATTGTCCACCAAGATTCAAAATTTCTTGTGCTCAGTTTTCTTCATTTTTCTCTCAATTAGGTAATAAATTTATCATTGGTGGTGACTTTAATTGTAAACATATTGCCTGGGGTTCTAGACTGACTACAGCCAAAGGAAAGATTCTTCATGCAGCCATAGGGCAAAATAACCTCTCCTTTATTTCAACTTGCAGTCCAACTTATTGGCCTTCCGACCCTACTAAAGTTCCAGACCTTTTAGATTTTTTTATCGTGAAAGGTATTGATCTTTCAAATCTCAATATTGAATCTAGTTACGATCTCTCTTCAGATCATTCTCCAATACTTGTGACGTTTAGCACATTTCCTACTCCAGTTATCAACAATCATATTCTACACAACAATCTTTCTAACTGGATTCAATACAAATCCATACTTGATTCAAAATTATTTCCAAAATCTAGGCCTACAAGCGTTATTGATATAGAAAATAATATAGATTATTTTTCTGAGATTGTACGTGAAACAACAAAGCAGATCACCCCGAACATTATTCCAAGAAATGATAATCTAATAATTCCGCAAGAGATTAAGAAGCTAATTGCACAGAAACGAAGAGCAAGACGTACCTGGCAACATTCTCATCTACCAACGGATAAGACATCGCTCAATCATCTCAATAACACGCTGAGGAAAAAAATGAAAGAATGGAAGAATTGTACATTCAGGTCGTATATATTGCAGCTAAATAGGTACGATAATTCCATATGGAAACCAATCAGAAACAAAAGTAAACCCCTACAACAAAACCCTCCTCTGAAAATAACCAACCAAAACGGATTCATTTGGGCAAAAAGCAACGAAGAAAAAGCGGAGGCATTTGCTGATCATCTAAGTAGCATTTTTAGCGCTCGAAATATTTCCCAGAATAATTTAATTAACAATTTCGTAAATCAACCCATACATTCTACACCGTTAGGACATTTTTCACCAAATGATGTCTTATGTGAAATAAAAAGGATAAAAAATAGATCTTCGCCGGGTATGGATAAATTACTCCAAAGATGTTAAAAGAATTGCCTACAAAAGGTATTTTATATATAACAAATATTTTCAACGCCATACTTCAATACAATTATTGGCCCACAGCGTGGAAGACTGCAGAAATTATTATGATCGCTAAACCAAACAAAAACCATCACACTGCTAGTTCATACCGTCCTATCAGTCTTTTATCGATATTATCGAAAATTTTAGAGAGACTTTTGTTG